TCAAACTATCCAAAAGATTCATAAAGATTCATAGTTTGCAAAACCATTTCTTGCTCCCAAATATTTATTTAAGAGAATTCTTCGCAAGCTAAACATTTCCAAATATGACAAGAAATATCTCACAAAGATTTCTTGTCAGTACAAACATTTTGAAGAAGATTTCTTATCTAGTCAAAGATCTTTGAACTTGTAAACATTTCCAAGTACAATAAGAAATATTTCACAAAGATTTCTTGTCAGTACAAACATTTTTGAAGAAAATTTCTTATCCAGTCAAAGATCTTTGAACTTGTAAACATTTCCAAGCACAATAAGAAATATTTCACAAAGATTTCTTATCCAGTCAAAGATCTTTGAACTTGTAAACATTTTCAAATACAATAAGAAATATTTCACAAAGATTTCTTATCCAGTCAAAGATCTTTTGACTTGATAAGAAATACTTGGGGTTACAAAGATATATTTAGCTATATCCTGAACAGAATATATCTTTCAACTATTCTTGAACCAGGATAAAGGTGCATTTTATTCAATACAACTACATAGATTTACATTACTACATTAAATATTAAATAAAGGGAAAAGGGAGTGAGGGAGATGCAGTGAGGAAGAGGGGTGAGGGTGGTGGGCAATGAGAGAGAGGGGAATGGGGTGGTAAGCAATGAGAGAGGTGGCAGGGAAAGGGGAAAGAGAGGGGGGAGGGAGGTGGGTGGTAGGCAATGAGGGAGGGGGTTGGTAGGCAATGAGGGAGGGGGGAAGGGGGTGGTAGGCAGTGAAGGAGAGGGGTAGTGGGCAGTGAGGGAGAGTGAGGGTGGTGGGCAGTGAGGGAGAGGGGGTGGTGGGCAGTAAGGTAGAGGGGGTGGTGGGCAGTGAGAGAGACAGGGTGAGGGTGGAGTACTGAACCTCGTCGCCGGGTGTGGGTGGTGGTGGGCACTCAATGTCGTCGCCGTCCATCGTTTGTACCCCTCGTCGTCTGGTTGTTTGTCCGGCCTCTTCCTCGTCGTCGTCGTCGTGGCCAACGTCGTCTCGTCGTGTGTACGCTCACGTCGTCGTCGTCATGTGTACGCCCTGGTCATCGTCGTCGTTGTGTGTACGCCCACGTCGTCTCATCGTGTGTACGCACGTCCTCGTCGTGTGTACGCCCTCGTCGTCTCGTTGTTTGTCCGCCCTCCTCCTCCTCCTCATTGTTTGTCCGCCCTCCTCCTCCTCCTTGTCCGTCGTTCATACGCCCTCGTCGTTGTCGTCTGTTCGCCATCATCTGTCTTTCGCCCTTCGGTGTCCTCGTCACACCGTTGATTGGCGTCTGCCTGCCCGGTGTCGTTTCGCGTTGTGACGTGGCCGCTGACATGCAGCATGAGGGCGGGGTGGGATGGCGACGTAGGGTATGCTACCCGTAAAGGGCTGGACAGTGGGGTGTTTTGTTAGTTATGTCAGAAAAGAGGGTGGGGAGGGACTTACCGTAGTTGTCATACGTCGTCGTCCGTCTGTGACGGTTGCCACGTCACTGACTGCGACGTGGCCTGGCTTGCTGCTGATTGTCGTTGTCGTTGGGCGGTCGTGGTCCGCTGGTCACTCGTTTGGTCGTTCGTCGTTTTTCGTGGTCGCTGGTCACCCTTCGTGTGATCGCTTGTTGGACGTGGGTCGCCGTTTGGATTGTTGTCTTCGTTGTGTGTGGTTGTTGGGCGGTGGTTGTTGGGTTTGGGCGGCGAGGGTTGTTTGCAGTGGTGAACGTTGCCGTGGCATGGCGGCGACGTGGTGGTGAGGTGGAGTCGCTGGCGTCGACGATGTGGTGGTGGTTGTTGAAGAAGGAACGTCACAAAGTCACGGTGTGTGACGTCGTAACCATGTTCAAGTTCACGCGTAAGATCACGCTCACTGTACATAGCGCCCACTGCATCTAGTAGTCCGTTATGAAATGTTGTTGTTCGCTTTTTCATTATAAAATTTTGTGTACCAGCTTTTTAAGACTACAAGAATCTTAGGGCTACAATAACTTGTAATGAGGATCTAGTTCAATGTTTCAGTATAAAAGTTTGTGTACCAGCTTTTGAGACTACAAACTCTTGTAGTCTCAGAATCTTAGGGCTGCAAGAACTTGTATTGAGGATACAGTTCAATGTTTCAGAGAGGGTGACATAGCCCTATATAATTCAGTCTTTGTACCTTCCATATGACTATGACAGAGGAATAAAATAGAAAGACAGGACAACTTACACTGAGATGTCAGAAAATTCAAACCCCTCCAATAGATGATATTAAGGCTGACTACAGACAAGGAGTAGATATCTAGGTCAACCAGGTACCAAGGCTGAATGACAGAGCTATGTGACTAGAATCAACTCCTCTGAACATTGAACTATCTCCACATGTAATTACTCAGAGTCAAGGACACTACAAGATACCAGTACATATCTTTGTAGTCTGAAATGTGGACACTACTTTTGTATTCCTAAGATTCTGGAACTACAAAAGTTTGTAGTCTCAAAAAGCTGGTATACAACATTTTATGATGAAAAAATTGAACAGTACAAGTTTTTGTAATGAAAAAAGAGGAGAGTATAGTTTTGGTAGTCTCAAAAAGCTTGTACTAGAAAACCTTGTAATGATAAAAGAAGAGAATACAATTTTTTGTAGTTTTTGTTGTCCCAAAAGCGAACACTGCAAAATTTTGTAATGAGAAATGCAAATTTTGGTAGTCCTGAAAAGTAGACACAACAAAATTTTCTCTTTCCAAACAGCAGACACTACAAATCTCTGTAATGAGTACAAAATTACCTAGTAGACTATAACTAGAACCAGTGGGCGCTACAGGGACTTGGGCGTGAACTTGAACGTTGATGTGAATGTCACACGCTGTGACTTTGTGACGTTACGACTCCACACCAACCCACGACTTCCACCTCGCACAAGCCACCACAAACGACCCCGGCTGCCCACAAACGGCAACAACTGCCACCCGCAACGAGGACAACCGGCAAAGGACGACAACCGGCGAAGGCCCCACGACACCTAGCAACAACGACACGACAGCCAACGGAAACAACGACGGGCAAACGATGGGCAAACGACGACCGGCGCCCACGACAGTCGATGACCAGCGCTGACGAAAATCGACCAGTGCCCACGAAAATCGAGCGACATCGCCGTCAGCGACGTTGTGCAACGCAGATGGACGAGGGACGACGACGACGAATGACCATGACACGTCACGACCACAACGTGGCAACAACGATGGTGGACAACACGACGTTGGTGAGCACCCACCCATCTCCCTCCCTTTCGTCTTCCGAGGACGATGCCAGGTGCCACGTCGCTGTTGGCGACGTGGCAACCAAACGGCGGACGACGACATTTCGTCGTCCGTCGTTTTTGTTTATGTTGTTTATACTATGACGGTGAGCACCTCCGTCCTTCGTCCTGAACCAACTCGCTAACAAGGCTGCGAAGTGTCTGGCACAACATCACGACATCACGACAACCACCTCACCATGACACACCACGACAACCACACCACAACTACGACGCTCCACGACACTTCGGCACCCTGCCACGTCACGCAACGCCCACGAAAAACGCACGCCATGGCCCCAGAGCCACGAACGACCTCACGTGGGAGCCAGGCCACACGTAGGACAACGGACGACGATGACGATGATGACGACAATCATATCGTCGTCGTCATTGTATATCAAACACGGTGAGCACGCCCTGCCTCTATCGCCACCCGCATAGCTAACACAACTCCGATGCCAGAACGACACGGATGGCCAGCAAACGACGGATGGACTACGACGAAGACACGCCGAGTGCCGACCACCATGAGACCTGCCAAGCGCCGACCACCGTTAAGAAACGAAGATGAGCGCCCATCAACACCACCTACAAACGGCGGCGATGGCTCAGCCATTGCCCATGATTCCTCACTGCCTTCCCCCCCATTCCCTTATGGCCCTTCACTCCCTCCCCAATTCCTCCCTCTCCCATTCCCTCACTCCCCCCATTCACCTCACTCCCCCCATTCACCTCACTCCCCCCCCATTCCCTCACTCCCTTTTCCCTTTATTTAATATTTAATGTAGTAATGTAAATCTATGTAGTTGTATTGAATAAAATGCACCTTTATCCTGGTTCAAGAATAGTTGAAAGATATATCCTGTTCAGGATATAGCTAAATATATCTTTGTAACCCCAAGTATTTCTTATCAAGTCAAAAGATCTTTGACTGGATAAGAAATCTTAAAAATGTTTGTACTGACAAGAAATCTTTGTGAAATATTTCTTATTGTGCTTGGAAATGTTTACAAGTTCAAAGATCTTTGACTGGATAAGAAATTTTCTTCAAAAATGTTTGTACTGACAAGAAATCTTTGTGAAATATTTCTTATTGTACTTGGAAATGTTTACAAGTTCAAAGATCTTTGACTAGATAAGAAATCTTCTTCAAAATGTTTGTACTGACAAGAAATCTTTGTGAGATATTTCTTGTCATATTTGGAAATGTCTAGCTTGCGAAGAATTCTCTTAAATAAATATTTGGGAGCAAGAAATGGTTTTGCAAACTATGAAATCTTTATGAAATCTTTTGGATAGTTTTGACAAGTTAAGAAAGGTTTGAGTTTCTTTTAAATGGTGAACATGGCAGATGGAAGGGAGGTGTTGGTGAAAACAATGGGGGAAAGCTGCTGGGGGATGCTAACTTGGATAAGTTTTAAATGGTGAACATGGCGGATAGAAGGGGGTGTTGGTGAAAACAATGGGGGAAAGCTGCTGGGGGATGCTAACTGTAATAGGTGTCCTGTGAGGTACAGTAGGAGTGGGTGGTCAAATTGACAACGTAGGGTCTGGCAAACGAGGATGTTGATCCTATTACTATGGTGTGAGGACTGATCGTGCTTCAAGCAACTTAGTCTTCAGTTCATGAACTCTTGTGGAGGTCTGTTGCGCAACCTCTGCTCTTCCTTTGGAAATCCTCAAGGAAGTAGAGTTCAAGGATTGGGACTGATGAAAGTTTGAATACCTCTAGGAGAATATTCAATGACCTTACAAACTTGAATCACTTACTTTGACTCTAATGGAGGACATGATATGACACAGCTGCTCGATGAGCGAACATAGTGGTGGTACAATGAATATGAGTTGAATCGTGATGGTCATTAAGTAAGCAAAAATAAAACAATCCAAAGAAGAGGGCAAGGTATAATGTTGTAAGAGGGAAATTACCTAGGAAACTTGTACAGGCACTGGAGATATGTCACACTAACTCGGATTGGTGAACATGGCAGATAGAAGGGGGTGTTGGTGAAAATAATGAGGGAAAGCTGCTGGGGATGCTAACTTGGATGAGTTTTAAATGGTGAACATGGCAGATAGAAGGGGGGTGTTGGTGAAAACAATGGGGGAAAGCTGCTGGGTGATGCTAACTTATATGAGTTCACATTAAGAGTGGACAACTTCCTTTGCCAACCCTCCTTTCTTCACCCTTCAATTCAACCTCAGTAGCTGTTATAGAATAGAACCATACATGGTTTGAAATGGACAAAACATTGGGTTGTGATCTGGATAAAGAAAAGAAAAGCAATGTGCAAAATATTGAGAAAGCTATACCAACAATACCAAGTTTTTTTCTTGAAACTGGGACCCCAGATACCCTGTGACACTGGTCGGATATGTTTGAGCCATGTGACAAGGCTAAAAGATTTTTCAGCAGTGTGACATGCTTAGAACATATCCGAGTGATGTCACACCACTGAAATATTTCTAGCCACTCTGGCACACCTCAAATATTTCTGGCCAGTTTGACTTGGCTCAAACATTTCTTACCAGTCTGACACACTTCAAATATTTCTTACCAGTCTGAACCCCTTCAAATATTTCTGACCACTTTCACTTGACTAGGATATTTTTGAACACAATTTATCTACCCAAAAATTTCTCGTCACAATATTAAAGGTCAAACATTTTCTACCCAATCCAATATTATATTTTCTCCCAAGGCAAGAAAAATAAATGGCCACACAACCTATTAGCCTGGATACATTCTTACATTTTACAAGGCTAATAGCTTGT